TAACAAAATACAAAACAAGTACAAAAAATTAAATTTACAAGTTTATTTAGACAAACAGTTTTTAAAATTAGCAATGATTGGAAGGCATTCTACGTCAGCAATTTTTTTCCAATCCTTCTTTTAAGGTTATGGTATGCAGACAGAGGAATCCAGAGTAATACTTCTCAAAAAAGTGCCACATTCACTGACTATAAAAAAATTACCTTAGATTTAAGATCAAGTGATTATGATATCAAGAATGACTAGAAAACTTATTCAGAGTAGCCACATTGGCAAGGCCTTTATCCTCTTTTCTTAAAAGTTTCAAAAGAAAGCTCAAATTTGTTAATTTATTAGTATAAAATAAACAAAAGATACCTGGAAAACTTAGAGCAAGACCAGTGCAACAACCAGCTACCCCCGCATTAATGACTGCAGATACAAAAGAGTTCATATTACCAGTGCAAGATCACTAAAAAGTAAAAGTGCCATTTTGAAGTTAAATTTTCATACCATCATCCTTTCCTCTAAGTCTTTTCAAGATGCAAACAACCAAACTATGAACTCCAGACAAAACTGCAAATGTCTAGTAACAAAGAAAACAAACATTAATTACAAGCTAAATTAAAACAAACAACAAAATTAAATATAATCAAGTAGCGAACTAAAATAACCAAGGAAAAGAGCACCGAGATGCCAATGCACCTTTGCATAAGACCCCGCTTCTACAAAGGAGCCTTTAAAACCTTTCTTCTTAAACAATCCAGCACCTGAAACAGACCACATTAAGAATCTCTAATCAAATTTCAGAAAAATCAACTCACAACTAGGCCATCAAAAGTCATAGTTCCATGATTTTTTTTCCCTATACACGAGCTTCTTTTAGGATAAAAACACATTCAAAATACTCGTGCCGGTTTTTTTTTTCACTCAAACCTACATTACTTAGAAAACTAAACCAATTAGTTAAAAAACCTAAACATACTTGAATTTAACCTAACACCAGACACCTGCTCCAATAAACCGAGTAAAAAACACATTCACTCCTTCAGAGTTCCAATAAACTAAGCGTCAATCGTACAGTCACTACAAATCATAGCTAAAACGAACCAATCGACAATAAAAAAAGCCAGTCAACACAACGAACAAGAATTCAAGCACTATATCCGCAACACACACATACACTATCAACAGAAACCACGAATCTTCGATTAAAAGGTGAGCAAAAAAATCAGGCTTAATAAACGGAAATTAGTTGATAAAACGGCGGCGTGATGCGATAATACGAATAAATGAGAAGAGGAGGACCGTATCCAAAGACAGAGCCCATGAGAGCGCCACCGGCTGAGTCAGTTGCGAAGCGGAGGAGGCAAACGGCAGGAGCGGCGGGGACGAGAGCGTTGGGAGGACTAGGATTGGATAGAGAATCAGAATCTTGAGGCTGAATAGTAGCGTCAGAATCTGGCGTCGCCATAGATGAAGAAGTTAAACCTCTCTTCTTCCTTCGTTTTACTCTTCAGGTTCTTCTCTTCTCAATTCTGTTGTAGGTGACTGCGAGACTGTGATGTTATCCCTTTCTAACGCTCTACACGACGTCGTTTTCTCACCTCCCAATGCTCTCAAAAACAAACCCTGAGCAAATTAGTTAAACCAAAAAAATACTGTATAATTAGAAATAAATAATAAAATATTTTAACTTGTTTTCACCTTTTTCAACTATTTACTTTATGGTAAAAAAATTCTTTTGATTTCAATTTATGGATTCAAGCATTGGTCATTTAATCATGATCTAGTTACAAAATAATTATTCAATATTTATTTTTCTTAGGAGTAATCTACACAAGTCTTAGATTAATGACGAACTGGTTCAAAAATAATTATACATTTCTTTTGTTGTATTTATCTCTTTCAGCATGTCTTCGGCTATTTTTATAGAAAAGAAAAACTATTTTCAAAATAATCTGTGTTTGAAATAACGGTTGAGATTTTCTAATAATAATCATAATAATAAGCAAATCAGTTAAAGATATTTTTAAATGTGCTAAAAATTATTTAAATGGTTGAAAACAAATTTTTCAAAGTATGTCCAGAATTAAAAGCATGACAAGATCACCGTCATCGACCTATTATTTTAAAATATTTAGATATTAAACTGTTAATTTATATTATATATGTATCCCTTCGCTGATCATAGAAGACGTGAAATTTTTTTATATGTATAATATATTGGTTTAATCATATAATTAGTTCCTATACTTTTTTAATAAATTAGATTTTTATTTTGAAAAATTAGAGTAATTAGATCTTTAATGTGAGTTTGGTACTAAAATGGCAAAGATGGTTGTGTCATGTTGCACTAGCAGTGTGAATCAAATCGAAACGTCGAGTTAAGCTGAACAGAATTAAATCAAATTGAGTCGAGTTTAACTGAACTAAACTGAGCTTAGTCGAGCTGAAACGAAACAAGCCCAACTAAACCGAGCCGAGCCGAGCCAAGTTGAGCCGAACGAGTTGTATCGAGTCGAGTCGAACCGAGTCAAACCTAACCAAACCAAACTGAGTCAAACCGAACCGAACTGAGTCAAACCAAACCGAGCTAAGTCGAACCGAGCCAAACCTAACCTAACCGAACTGAACCAAACCTAGCCATCCAAACCGAGTCAGGCCTAACTGAATCGAACCAAACCAAACCAAACCAAATTGAACAAAAGAAAACCAAACCAAACCAAGCCTAACTGAATCGAACCAAGCCAATCCTAATCGAACCAAACCAAACCGAATCAAATCAAACTGAACCAAACTGAACTAAGCAAAGTTGGACCAAACTAAATCGAGTCGAATCAAATCAAACCGAGCCGATAGACATGTTTGAAATTGATAAATAAACATACTGAATTATTTTATAGGATAACTTCAAATATCATATTTTATATCTAAGAATTAATTATTTCATATATAGAACTAATCAGCATTAATGTATAGGGTTAATTAAAGTATATTTTTTCAAACTAGTATGGTGTAAGTTTAAATTAATACCTCGATAAATGGTTGAGACAATAGTTAACGTTTTCACGTGTTAGATGTCCTTTCATGCTTGCAAGTTGTGCCTGTATTTTAGACATTATTTCCATTCCCCAAATAATTCAAACATATCAATTAAACCATTCAAATGTTGCTACTCACCTACTGTCAGTACAAGCAGACAGAAAAAATAATGAATTTTAAAACAGTACAAGAAATATAAGAATAGACTTATTGATCCAAGAAGGATCTGATGCCAGACAAAGCAAGTCATCATCAATTGTTAATCCAAGAAATGTGGAATTAATAGTGCTGTTGATAGATTGCTCCAAACTCTACTCTCCATGCCTGATCCTCACGGGAAGTTGCATTGTCTTGAACCACATCAGAATCCTCTCTAAATAGTGGCTGCAGTGCGGACTCTGGTAATTTGCTCTCTGCAAGGTACTGCTTCATGGTAATCATCTCCATCTTATGTTTTCTTTTCAGCTTGTCCATTTGCTTTTTTAGCTTTTCATTATCTTGTTGCACCTTTGTTGAATTCTCCTGTAAGAAATGCAAAAGTCAAGAAAAAAACATAGAAATACCCAAAATATAGAGTCCTTTCTTTTCACAGAACATTTTTTGATGCATTTTAAAAGAATTGATGATGAGATTTTTACCTCTGCAATAGAAGCTGCATGCTCAGCTTCTCTTAGTCTGACAAGTAGTTCACCAGCAGCATGAACAGCTTCTGCAGTTTCTTTAAGTTGAATCTTGAGATTCATGTTCTCCTTTTTTAAGAATTTTGCTTCCCTTTCTCTCTCCACCCTCAATGCAGAAAGCTCAGCAGCAAGAGATTTGGCAAAGCGAGCACGACCCTTCTTTCCAGCCTTGGCCGCTGCTCTCTTCACCTCTGCTATGCCTTCCATTATGGCATTGTGCTTTGCAACTAAATCGTTATATTTTTCTTGCAGGTCGGCATAGTGTTCCACCATTCTGGCATGTCCAAGAACTGCTCTTTTTAGTGCATCGTCTAACTCTTCAGTGCACTTTTTCTCTAAACTCAGTTCCATCTCCACTCTCTCCGCCCGCTGACGGTTGGACTCGAGATCAACTCTTAGTTCATCAGTCAAACAAATCCACTCACTTTCCATTTCTGTCCATCTCTGTCTCTCTTTCTCTAGCTCATCTCCGTTATTATCTTGAGAAAATACAGCACTTTTTCGCTGTTGAATGGATCTTGACATTAAAGATAATGACGATCTTAGTTTGTCGGTGGACTTTCTAACCGGTGCATCGCTACATATTTGCAGCTTGCTTCTTAGATTTTGAATCTCCTTGAGAAGTTCTTCCTTCTCAGCTGCATCAAAAGAGCTGTCTCCATTAGTTACTACTTCCTGTACTTCCTTTACTTCCTTAATTTCACATTTTTCCTCTACAACATCTGGTAAATATTTGTCTAATGAAGTGCCTCTTGGAAGCTGCAAACAACATAAGAGGTTGAGGACAAGCGTGAGATATAAAACCTTCAAATGGATAGAACTATATTGTAAATTACAAAACCAACAACTGACCCTGTCTTCATCATTCAACAAGTTACTATCTTCATGTCTAGCCTGTTTGTTTCTCTCAGGATCATACACAATGATGGAAGATTTTAGTTCTTTTTCTCCTTTCAATTTCTCCACCTAGGCAAACCAAAACTAAATTGTCAGTACTGTAAATTCACACCGCAAACAATAATTCATGAATGAAATTGCTCTTTATACCAATTGATTTAGTTCTTCAATTCTAGCAGCTTGCTCCTTGCAAACATTCTCTAGCTCCTTTTCTCTTGTGATCGCTTTTTCCATTATACTCTGGGAATCCTTGAAGCAAAAACAACAACAATAAGATAAATGAGTTTGACAAGATAACTAATAATCGAAGAACTTTCTGGGAATTTTCTACAACACATACTTCTGAAACTTTATCTGTCAGTCCATCTGGATTTTCTGCTTCAGTTTCAATCCTTGATTTTACGTTTCCTTGAACCTCAGTAGTATCCTGATTGCATATTCTCTTACGGCAAGGTTCACAAAGCAAGGTGGCAGTACTTTCGTCGACAGAATATTTCTTCTGTTGCGTTATTTGATCACCAGAATCGTCCTTGTCTATTTCTGAACAAGGTCTCAAGGTTAAGTGATCAAAAGAGAAGGAAGCTGAAGATTTGTTCAATGTTGAGTTTCGCTGATGATAATCAATTATCTGCAATCCCCTTTGAAGGCTTGCGGCCAAGGATTCTGTAGGACCTGCAAAAACCTTGCTTGATCGTAGCGACAATCGCATCTTCTCACCCTCTTTACTTGAACTCAAATTCTCCTCTGCCACATTGTTCCAACTTCCCAGACAACTTGATGTATAAGCCATACTTTTCCTCTGGACATTTTTTATTTTTGGAGACTCGGACAACGTTGGTTCCTCAAGTATTGGAGATCGGCCACATGAGCTAACTGAAATGCTATCTCTGAAAGTAGATTTAATTGACCAGGCATTAGCTGTACTTGCAAAGTCATCAGCTGAAGTATACAAGATGGTAGTTGATCCCTCACTTTCCTCGGGACAAGGCTTACACAGTGTGTCTTCAAAACATCCTTCCTCCTCTATTTCAATTTCATCACCACTGGTCATATCTGCATCACAAATTTCTGCAACAGAATAAAATTGGACACTATCTTCACTGACAGATATGTTTTTAGGATTCCCTTCACATGAATGATACAATTCATCAATCTGCTGGCGTAACTGCCTTATGTCTTCCTCGTCCACATTCACCTCTTCATCAGTGTCTTTGTCAATACAGGGTAGGAGTATAGAGCGGTTTAAGCTGACACGCAGCTGATTGAGACTGTCCCGTACATTACGTCCTTGGAAGTATCCATTTTTAATCCCATCGGAGCAACGAACCTCAGCCTTTGCTCTAATAAGTTCTTCCTGTAATCAAACATGAGTAATTCTTGGATGTTATATCTGCAACAACCCCTGTTAAAAACTATTCAAACAAAGTCTTGGGGGAAAACAATACCTTCAGTTGCCGGATTTGATCACTTAAATCATTAACATCATCCTCCTTTATCTCATTGATAACAGGTTCATTTCTAATGGTTCTTACTCGCTGTCCAAACCTGAGTGTGCGCAAAGTTTCGCCAGTATTCCTACAATCAACAGATACAATNAAACTGAACTAAGCAAAGTTGGACCAAACTAAATCGAGTCGAATCAAATCAAACCGAGCCGATAGACATGTTTGAAATTGATAAATAAACATACTGAATTATTTTAAAGGATAACTTCAAATATCATATTTTATATCTAAGAATTAATTATTTCATATATAGAACTAATCAGCATTAATGTATAGGGTTAATTAAAGTATATTTTTTCAAACTAGTATGGTGTAAGTTTAAATTAATACCTCGATAAATGGTTGAGACAATAGTTAACGTTTTCACGTGTTAGATGTCCTTTCATGCTTGCAAGTTGTGCCTGTATTTTAGACATTATTTCCATTCCCCAAATAATTCAAACATATCAATTAAACCATTCAAATGTTGCTACTCACCTACTGTCAGTACAAGCAGACAGAAAAAATAATGAATTTTAAAACAGTACAAGAAATATAAGAATAGACTTATTGATCCAAGAAGGATCTGATGCCAGACAAAGCAAGTCATCATCAATTGTTAATCCAAGAAATGTGGAATTAATAGTGCTGTTGATAGATTGCTCCAAACTCTACTCTCCATGCCTGATCCTCACGGGAAGTTGCATTGTCTTGAACCACATCAGAATCCTCTCTAAATAGTGGCTGCAGTGCGGACTCTGGTAATTTGCTCTCTGCAAGGTACTGCTTCATGGTAATCATCTCCATCTTATGTTTTCTTTTCAGCTTGTCCATTTGCTTTTTTAGCTTTTCATTATCTTGTTGCACCTTTGTTGAATTCTCCTGTAAGAAATGCAAAAGTCAAGAAAAAAACATAGAAATACCCAAAATAAAGAGTCCTTTCTTTTCACAGAACATTTTTTAATGCATTTTAAAAGAATTGATGATGAGATTTTTACCTCTGCAATAGAAGCTGCATGCTCAGCTTCTCTTAGTCTGACAAGTAGTTCACCAGCAGCATGAACAGCTTCTGCAGTTTCTTTAAGTTGAATCTTGAGATTCATGTTCTCCTTTTTTAAGAATTTTGCTTCCCTTTCTCTCTCCACCCTCAATGCAGAAAGCTCAGCAGCAAGAGATTTGGCAAAGCGAGCACGACCCTTCTTTCCAGCCTTGGCCGCTGCTCTCTTCACCTCTGCTATGCCTTCCATTATGGCATTGTGCTTTGCAACTAAATCGTTATATTTTTCTTGCAGGTCGGCATAGTGTTCCACCATTCTGGCATGTCCAAGAACTGCTCTTTTTAGTGCATCGTCTAACTCTTCAGTGCACTTTTTCTCTAAACTCAGTTCCATCTCCACTCTCTCCGCCCGCTGACGGTTGGACTCGAGATCAACTCTTAGTTCATCAGTCAAACAAATCCACTCACTTTCCATTTCTGTCCATCTCTGTCTCTCTTTCTCTAGCTCATCTCCGTTATTATCTTGAGAAAATACAGCACTTTTTCGCTGTTGAATGGATCTTGACATTAAAGATAATGACGATCTTAGTTTGTCGGTGGACTTTCTAACCGGTGCATCGCTACATATTTGCAGCTTGCTTCTTAGATTTTGAATCTCCTTGAGAAGTTCTTCCTTCTCAGCTGCATCAAAAGAGCTGTCTACATTAGTTACTACTTCCTGTACTTCCTTTACTTCCTTAATTTCACATTTTTCCTCTACAACATCTGGTAAATATTTGTCTAATGAAGTGCCTCTTGGAAGCTGCAAACAACATAAGAGGTTGAGAACAAGCGTGAGATATAAAACCTTCAAATGGATAGAACTATATTGTAAATTACAAAACCAACAACTGACCCTGTCTTCATCATTCAACAAGTTACTATCTTCATGTCTAGACTGTTTGTTTCTCTCAGGATCATACACAATGATGGAAGATTTTAGTTCTTTTTCTCCTTTCAATTTCTCCACCTAGGCAAACCAAAACTAAATTGTCAGTACTGTAAATTCACACCGCAAACAATAATTCATGAATGAAATTGCTCTTTATACCAATTGATTTAGTTCTTCAATTCTAGCAGCTTGCTCCTTGCAAACATTCTCTAGCTCCTTTTCTCTTGTGATCGCTTTTTCCATTATACTCTGGGAATCCTTGAAGCAAAAACAACAACAATAAGATAAATGAGTTTGACAAGATAACTAATAATCGAAGAACTTTCTGGGAATTTTCTACAACACATACTTCTGAAACTTTATCTGTCAGTCCATCTGGATTTTCTGCTTCAGTTTCAATCCTTGATTTTACGTTTCCTTGAACCTCAGTAGTATCCTGATTGCATATTCTCTTACGGCAAGGTTCACAAAGCAAGGTGGCAGTACTTTCGTCGACAGAATATTTCTTCTGTTGCGTTATTTGATCACCAGAATCGTCCTTGTCTATTTCTGAACAAGGTCTCAAGGTTAAGTGATCAAAAGAGAAGGAAGCTGAAGATTTGTTCAATGTTGAGTTTCGCTGATGATAATCAATTATCTGCAATCCCCTTTGAAGGCTTGCGGCCAAGGATTCTGTAGGACCTGCAAAAACCTTGCTTGATCGTAGCGACAATCGCATCTTCTCACCCTCTTTACTTGAACTCAAATTCTCCTCTGCCACATTGTTCCAACTTCCCAGACAACTTGATGTATAAGCCATACTTTTCCTCTGGACATTTTTTATTTTTGGAGACTCGGACAACGTTGGTTCCTCAAGTATTGGAGATCGGCCACATGAGCTAACTGAAATGCTATCTCTGAAAGTAGATTTAATTGACCAGGCATTAGCTGTACTTGCAAAGTCATCAGCTGAAGTATACAAGATGGTAGTTGATCCCTCACTTTCCTCGGGACAAGGCTTACACAGTGTGTCTTCAAAACATCCTTCCTCCTCTATTTCAATTTCATCACCACTGGTCATATCTGCATCACAAATTTCTGCAACAGAATAAAATTGGACACTATCTTCACTGACAGATATGTTTTTAGGATTCCCTTCACATGAATGATACAATTCATCAATCTGCTGGCGTAACTGCCTTATGTCTTCCTCGTCCACATTCACCTCTTCATCAGTGTCTTTGTCAATACAGGGTAGGAGTATAGAGCGGTTTAAGCTGACACGCAGCTGATTGAGACTGTCCCGTACATTACGTCCTTGGAAGTATCCATTTTTAATCCCATCGGAGCAAAGAACCTCAGCCTTTGCTCTAATAAGTTCTTCCTGTAATCAAACATGAGTAATTCTTGGATGTTATATCTGCAACAACCCCTGTTAAAAACTATTCAAACAAAGTCTTGGGGGAAAACAATACCTTCAGTTGCCGGATTTGATCACTTAAATCATTAACATCATCCTCCTTTATCTCATTGATAACAGGTTCATTTCTAATGGTTCTTACTCGCTGTCCAAACCTGAGTGTGCGCAAAGTTTCGCCAGTATTCCTACAATCAACAGATACAATGGTTACCACTAGAAACAAAGGCATACAAGTGATTAAGTAATGCTCCTTGGTCCAGGTAAATTACTTGTTATCGGGGGAGATGGAACATATTAACGATAGTTTGGCATTTCCACCAAGTGATTCTTGCAGTAAATGTGTTAAACAGGAATTCCTGTTTGAAATTTCTTCTGCTTTTCCGGAGAGTGATTCTTTAGTCAGGACATCCACTAAATGCCTACAGTAGTGAAATAAAATAGAGGTTAAGTTCACCCATTAAATAAAAAAAGACCAAACTATAAACACTAGATGCCACCCCATGCACTTTGGACTCAGAGACTTAAATTTGCAATAAACAGTTAAAATCACAAATAAAAGAAAAAAACTAAATATCATCAGAAAAGGAAATTAAGAGAAACTAGCAACCCAAACTGCAGAGTATATGAACCAAATGTAATATAGTCATGGCAGGGAAGCTTACCCGAGCTGAGATAAGGACTTCTTTACATTTTTGCTTTCCTTTAGACATTGCTTGCCTGCATCCTCAATTTTGTTTCTGTCCTGTCCAGCAAGATCAATAAGGCTAATTCTGCTAGATTTTGAACTACTGAAACCCTTTGATGATATTCCCTGCAGCACAAATCAAAGAAAGAAAACCAAAAGCAGCAATTCAATAAGAGTGGAAGTATCAATATGCATTTGTCTCAATGTTACATAAGAAAAAAATATGTTAACTATCTGCAGCTAAGCATGTTAAATACAATTATAGTGGTAATACCTTGCACCACGATTCAATGACAAAAGTGAAAATGATATGTGATCTAGAGCTCTTGGAATTTAAGCTTGTTGCTCCAACTTTTCTGCTTGAAAGTCCCTGAAGCATATAATGACCAAATTAGTTAGCTGATAAAGTACATAAAGCATGTAGACATCTAATCTTCAGAGCAGTATATTTACTTTGCTACTACCTTAATCAGAATTTGTGTCACATCATCATAGCTAGTAACATATTCCTCAGTCAGATTCTCTATATACAAAGCATTTTTGGAATCGTCTTTCATCTGCAATAATTTGGACCAGACATAAGAACATGCAGTAATGAAAAACAAATGTATTAGTAAATAATGTTTAATGAGATATTGTTGTAATACAAAAGGATGACATATGCATGCCTCAAGGTTGCGCTGGGTTGGATCGAGTAAGTCCCCAATTTGTTCATTGTATATCTGTTTCAAACAACAGAATAAAAATAAGATCAGTATTATATAAGCAATGGAGCCAAGATGAGAAGTTTTATGAAATAATTACCTCAAGAAAAGAACATCGACATTGATAGTTGAATTGTTTACCATCAGACGCCTGCTGCTCCTAAAATAGTAATTGAAAATGAAAAATAGTTAATACTCAAAATATTACATAAACCGTAGATTTAGTGGTTTAAGCAGGAAGTAAAACGTACTCTATCAAGCTCAGAAAACAACATTTGGAAGATCCGAGGAACAATTCCCTTGTGACTTTGAGGCGAGGGCTCCTCAAACATGGCACTTGGGGGACCCCACATTGTATAAGTCTTTCCACTTCCAGACTAACGAAGGATTAAAGGAAAATTAGAAAAAAAAAATGCTCAACACTTAATAGTCAATCAAGAATACCGTTATATATAGCAAACATGAAGTAGTACCTGGCCATATGACAGAATTGAAGTGTTGTAACCCTCCAAAGCATTTTTAACCAATGGGACACCCACTGACTGAAATATATCTTCCTGAGCAAACAAAAGCAAATATAAATCACACTTATCTACTTTTATGAGTATGAAGCAAGAACTTGGAAGCAAGAACTTGGAAGCAAAAAAATGAATTCCTAGCAGTTTCCCTCATAAGTCATTATAAATAGTAACTAAGTGCCTTAAACCTGTAAGAAAAAAAT